TTAATAAGCTTCTGTATCTAATTTACTGAAAATTATTGGAAAAAACTTTTGATTATTCAAAATTTATCTGAAATTCCAAGTAAAATAAATTGTCTTGTAGAGAAGCGTAACACCTTACTTCATTTGTAACCAATTATAACAAGATCTAATGAAGCATGTTGAAAATATTTCGTTTTGAAATCAGTTGTCAAGTCTTTCATGAAAAAATCGATATCTAAAACTTATTTTGTGTTTTTCTCGAAATATAGTTTTTCTGGCAGTATAGTTGAAATAACTTAGACTTGGCTCAGGCTTTCCCAAATATTTTTTTTTGTTTTAAAGGTCTCAGTTAGGACTAACTTTTCGTCGGACAGAGTTTTGATATAGAGTGCTTAGGCTGAGAAAAGCTCAATTTATCGCCTATTTTGGCGCCTATTTTGAGACATGCACATTAAAATCCTTATAAAAAATTAATAGAGTCAAATTTCAAAAATCCGTCCGATGAAAAGTTGCGTATAGATGTAAGACTTTCTTTATATGCGAGGATGTATATCTTTTTTAAATGTTAATTGGGATGTTTCTATATTATCTTACACTTATTTATTTATCTATAATGTAAGTTGATCTATACATACTTTCATAACAAATGATAAATAATAATTATTTTAATGTTTTCGATTTTATTTTAATATATGTATGCAAATAAAAATACACTAACGAGTAATAGAATCGAAAACGGATAAAGATGCTGCGCAATAACGACAAAACACGAGACTGAAACTTATAGAAGATCAAAGAAAACAAAACGACAAATAAGAGAGACAAAGAATAGAAATATGGAAAATGCACGGAAAAACAATAGAATAAAAAAAGAAGATAATCAACGCAAAGAAAGAAAGAGAGGAATCATTCTTGTGCTTGTAAACATAAAACAAACGAAACGACAAGAAGAAATACAAGACATAGCAAGGGAGTGAGAGAGAGAAACAAAAAAGGGGCATCGTAACCTGTTGTATAGCAACTATCGATTACGATGAAAAGGAATGACAGAAAAGAAACGAACAAGTCTAAGAAAAATAAGTTAGCGTCGTACAGCGACATCTTACGACGCTAACAATAGAGGCTAGCTTCAATTTAAAACTACTCCAACCTCTATATCTAATACGGCCATGGAGTTATTTTGATTCTCGTGGAAGCCAGAAAATACATCGTAACTCTAGTTTGGTAAGAAATACAAGGCAGCAATTTTATCATAAATGTTTCTCACTAGGACCAACTATCGCTATAAGTTTCAGCCCGAAACTATGGTGGAAAGTCGCGAGTCGATTCTGAGGGTGTAGGGTGCCCCCTTAAGACGGTATAATAATTGAATTCATCTAGAGATTATTCGCATATGTCGTTTCTTCTCCTGTATATATAAATATTTTGAATTTGGTAAAGATAATAAAAACTGATGTGACTAACAAAGTTAAATTACTGAACTTTTCAAACTATTTACTATGCTAAAACTAACTGTGTACTGAGTAATTAAATGGTACATTTAGAGAACGGCATGTTCTATCAAGAGTTTTAGTACTAACTTCAAGTATAATTAATAATTTATCAATTGAACAGGATCCATCTTCAACAAATGCAAAACTTTTTACTGTAGAACCAACAATATGTTTAAATTTATGAACTTCTTGTTATATTAATGGGCAGAATCAACAAAAGATGTTATCTGTCCTCAAAATTATGCTTTGTAAGAAAAGATTGCATATCAGTTCATAATTTAGAATCTTTTTCAGAACTTGATTTAACTAAATATGCCAACAAAAATGGACAACCTTCAACCACTTCAAAATCTCTTTTGATATTTGGCGCTTGAAAAATATCAAGATGCATCTGTCCAGCTTTTCTTAAAAAGCTTGTTAGCGCAACCCCTTTGGGGCTAAAATGTAGAACTCACATATATCCCTTCGGTTTACTAAAATAATTCAATATAGTTCATCTGAAAAATCTACCCTGATTTCCAAAGCATATAATTAGGTCATTGCCTATTTGCTTATGTCTGCAATCGCGTATTAATTATTAGCTGGTATATTTAACAATGGCTGATACTAGTTTCTACGGTTTGTTATGGTACCCTAAGCTAGTTACTATGGTCTGTAATGGGTAACCATTGCGTTTTTCGTGTAGTCTGTAATTAAAAAAGGAAGAAATAGCAGCCTAATTAGTCAAGCTCCTAATTAGCACAATTTTAAACTAATTAATGTCTGTAATGGGGAGGGGTGGGGAGCCGCAAAAATGTCGCTTATAAACTTACACTCACCATTTTCTTCGAAAGTATATGTGAGTTCTACAAAATCTAACTTGTGAATTTCGGACTCCTGTTCGGTGCATTTTCTCAGTCATGAAAGCTCGGATACAAAAACTGATGACGGATTTGGACTCTGGGATCCTGATAAGCTATAGGGAAGTTTGACATAGATAATAAACTGGTGAAGAGTTAATTGCAAAAACTATGAAAGCTTCGTATAGTCTACGGAACGAACACTGGTTCCGTTGACATTTTACGAAATATTTTTTAGCTCAGTAAAAGATGTTCATGATTGAACGGGTTAATTCGAATTGAATTTGTTTGAATTACATCGAAAAGCGAAAGATTTTCTAGCTCAATAAAAAGTGTCCATAATTGAACGCTTTTATCAATGTAAAAGGAACTAAATCAACGCTAGTTAGCGAAGATTTTCTTAGTGCGAAAAAATTCGTCGATGAATGTACGGTGAAAAACGGATGAAGAGTGCGTAAAAACGTCGTTTTATTTTTAGGGATGCGTGAAAACAGCGTTTTTACAGATTTCTAGCGCGTTTTTACGCGTTTTTTTGAAGGTCGTGTCTGTCAGGGTAGAAGGATCACTTGTGTAATACAATGAATTTCCAGGTATATCAACGCCACTTAAGCTGAAATATTTCTCATCATCCATGACAATAAAACAATTGTTCAAAATATGACGATATAAAAATCCACAATGTTTTGTGCACGCTTCTCCTGATCTTTAACATATTTCGGTGCTTTAATTCGTTGTCGTGGACGAATATTTGTTCGTTGTTTTAAATTTCTGCCAATTGTTCTATGGTCAACATTATAACGTCTTGATAAAATTCTATGACTAATACCACTATTATTATTCACAGTGAATGCTATAGATTTCATTTGTTTGTTGTTCAATTTTCTTCGACGACCAGATCTTGGCAAATCTGCTGTGGTTTTAAATTGTACATATCTTTGGATGACTCGATATACAGTTGAATAACACAGCCTTCTTTTTTTTTTAAATTCCATGTACGTTTCATATTACCACCAGCAGTGTCATTATGAAAAGTTGTGACACGTAATCTTAGTGCTTCTCGTTCTTCCTTCTTCATCTCGCTCAAAAACACGTGTCACAAATGAAACGATATATACAAATGCACTACTAGCTATGATCTTTCTAACGAAAAACGAATGAACAGTCTAGACTGTTTCCAAGTGATACACGAAGAAAAACAAAATTAATGCATAACTTTTGCCCCACCAGTTACGTTATTTTTTACAGTGTAGGGAGTTTCAGAAAAACTGATGTAACATCCTGAAAACGCATCATAAAATACATAAATCATAGTGCGTTCGACATTTTACTCTATCACACACACTATAAATCAAAAAGTCGAAAAATTTGACGAAAATTAACTTTTAGGGTGTAGGGGGGCCTTAAGGGTCACCCCCCCCTCAGCAAACCCGATTTTTCGAAAAAAAATCGGAAATCGAGTTTTTTTTCATATAAAGATTCGCCGTATTCTCCTCTTTCAAAATATATATAGAGGCTTTTGAAAAAGGCTTACGTTTTAAGGGAGTTACAGGAGAAACATTATCCACCATAATCACGTTTTTCAAGAATTTTTCAAATTTTGTAAAAATTTTTGGTTTTTCGCTGTTCATCAATTTATATGCGACTAATTCGAATCAAACACCATTGACGTGAGGTTGATGCGTCATACGGTGCTTAAGTTCGTATTTCTAAAACATTTCTGACCAGTATAAAAGATACACTAAGCGTATTTTGTTCAGGAACGCAGCTGTTTGAGAAAATATATTTTTCCACATCGCTTAGGGTGATGTATTAGTGTCAGTGCAAAAATATAGTAATGTTAGCTTTTACTTTTTTTTTTAATATATAATTTTTATTGTTCCACTAGGGTTAACAAAGAACACGATGCATGATTGTAGAACACTAGTTAAAAAATTAACTTGTGAGAAATAAGAATAGAGGTACAAGTTCACAGAGGTTTTCACTTCTTTTTTACAGTACAGTTGACAGAGGTCATAGTTTTTACTTATTATTACATTTTTCATGAAAATAAGAGAGATTATAATTGACAACGCACGTAAAGAGTTTAGAAGTAACAATAACACGAAGAATTTAGAAACAATGATCGCATGAAAAAAGTTGAGAACAGATATATCAGTAGCATATGGTTATTTATAATGATGTATAACATACACTTTTTCTTTAAGGGGGAAAAAATGAAAAATATTTTAATGCAAATGTTTCTAATAGAGAAGAAGTACGCTTAAATAGGCCATACTGGCTTCTATGAAAATTAGTAAAAGTGAGGAAGTCTAAATACGTGTGATGAGCCCGTTCTCTTAGTCTATTCACGAAGACGCTATTTTTTCTAAATCCACAACTTCGATAGTAGTCTTTGTTTAGCGACGTCGCAATTAAGAAGGCATTCCAAGACTGTCTATATATCACTGCTTCGGGACCTTCCTCAAGATGCTTTTGAAAACGTACCCAATATCTATATATGTAGTCTCTTAAAGAGTATTCTCGACTTAAAGCTAATGTTGTAAAATCCTCATATCCCCACAGGGAGTAGACAAGTCGAATACCAGTCATGAAAACGTGTTCTATCCTTTCGCGCTGCTTTGCTGTAAAATAGAACCAGATAGAGAAGAGCCAAGAGAAAAGAGGAAGAGAGAATGCACAGAATAATTTTCTTCGGATTTTTATTTCCTTTTTTGGTATTATATTAAAAATTTGACGTAAGGCACAATAAGAATTTCTTACTTTCTTTAGTCTTGTATCAATGTTTTTACCCATTCCTAACTTAGTTCCTATCTCTACACCTAAACATTTAAAGGAGCCTACATATTCTATATTTACATCTTTATATTTGATAGCGGGCTTTTTACGTCTACTGCACTATGTACAATCATAGCTTTCGTTTTGGATATGTTAACCGATAGAATATGATCGTCAGAAAATTTCTCTAATGATTCTAGAACTATTTTTTCTTGAGATTCAATATATTTAATATTAGTAGAGAGTCTCATTTCTAAACCTCCTTTGATAATCATCGTAAGATCCTCTGCAAAAAGATGACAATCTATTTGTAAGAATTGAGAAGGTAGAAAATGTATATGTAGTCTAAATAAAGAGCAGCTAGAACACTTCCTTGAGGGGCGCCTACTCTAATAGAGAATAGCTTAGACTTAGAATCACCATGATTGACGCTCATTTTTCGACCTTGAAGCCAGTTAAATATCCACTTTCTCAACTAGGGCGTGAATGTGGGTGTATGGGAGATTCAACCCCCACACCCTCACACCCTCAATAAAATTTTGTAAGCTTTTGTTAGTGTAGGAGTATGAGTGACGTTTAATAAGCTTCTGTATCTAATTTACTGAAAATTATTGGAAAAAACTTTTGATTATTCAAAATTTATCTGAAATTCCAAGTAAAATAAATTGTCTTGTAGAGAAGCGTAACACCTTACTTCATTTGTAACCAATTATAACAAGATCTAATGAAACATGTTGAAAATATTTCGTTTTGAAATCNTGAACCATGGGCGAAGGAATGGTTCAAGATTCGAGGTGTTTTCACCTCAATCAAACCAATATGCGAATCATTGAAAGAGATGGCTCGTGAATGTGACCACGATACAATTGCGATGAGCTTCATCCCGAAGCAAACGATGACAGAAGGAGCAACAGGCTCTAATCCAAAAAATCTTGATCAATTACCACCAACTTATATGTACTCGATAATTTTCAAAGATATTATATTAGAAATCGATGACGATGACGAAAAATCTATGAACACTTTAGTGAAGTTTTGCCGAACACAAAATGTTTCTGAAACTGAAATCAGTGAATTTAAGCGTGAGTACCACAACAAATCACCAGTCTATTGGTATACAAAACAAATGTTTCTGTATGGTATGCTTAATCGTGCCTTACGAATGCTCGATATGGAGGGGATGACCAAATTAGGCTTTTTCATTAGAAGTCTTCATCTGCAACTGGAACAATTACATAAGGAACAGTCGGTAGATTTCCAAAAAGCGTTCATTGTTTATCGTGGCCAGGGGCTCAGCCAACAAGACTTTCAAAATCTAATGGATTCAAAAGGTGGACTCCTTTCATTCAACAACTTTTTATCGACTAGTATGAAACAAAAAGTGGCCACATCATTTGTTCAACAGGTCCTAGAGAGAAATCCAGATATTGTGGGTGTTACGTTTATTATGACAATAGATCCAAGTAAAATATCAACTTCAATCACACCATTCGCTATGGTTAATAAACAAAGTGATCTTCCACGAGAACAAGAAATGTTATTTACGATGCACACTGTTTTTCGTGTTGGTGAAATTAAACAGACGGCTGAGAATAGTCGCCTTTGGGAAGTACACTTGACTATTACTGACGAGAGTGATCCACAACTTTCTGCTCTTACTGATCGCATCAAAGAGGAGGTTCAAGGTACGAGTGGATGGTATCGAATGGGTAAATTAATGCTCCAAGTGGGTCATTTCGGTCAAGCTGAGGAACTCTACAATGAATTACTCGAGAATGCTTCTGATGATAGTGAGAGAGCACATATCTATCACATGCTTGGGCTGATGAAAGACAATCAAGGTGAATACCAACAAGCAGTTACTTTCTACGAAAAAGACCTCGAAATATCCCAGAAAACACTCTCAGCAGATGATCCAGAATTGGCTACTAGGTACAACAACATCGGTGGAGTGTATTACAACATGGGTGAATACTCGAAAGCATTGGAATATTACGAAAAATCAATTAAAATCAAAGAAATATCTCTGCCTCCGACTCATCCCGATTTGGCTGCTTCCTACAACAACATTGGTGTAGTGTATAGCAGCATGGGTGAATACTCGAAAGCACTGGAATATTACGAAAAATCACTCAAAATACGAGAAAAAGCTCTGCCTCCGACTCATCCC